TTAATGTATTGTTTCCTTATGTTCCATTTGTGTGACTTTATATTACTATTAATACTCTGTCATAATCAATATTCAATCCTTATCATATTCTTCAATAAATATGTTATTTTAAAATCTATTTATTTTCACTTTTGATTATAAAGATAAATATAATTAAAAAGAAAAACACAATTATATTTAGTTCATTTATATTTAAGTAGGATGTGGCGCACTTTAATTTCATTGGTCAATACTATTCGAAGGCTCGAAACAAAGATAAACTCAATCAATGGTTCTATCGTCCGGTATAAAATTTCTTTTTTTCACTTGTAACATACGAATTAATTCCAAATATCTTTAATCTAATTAATAATTTTCCTAGAAATCGAAAGAATTATCTCTTTAATAAGATATAAACAAAGTAAATATATATTATTTATTTAAGATAATAATATACAATGAAATCATCATCACGTTCATTAGTTTATAATCGAAATGTTGAAAATCGTCCAATACCTTCGTAATGAAACATAATGTTTTTTATTAAATATTTGATAAATTTGTTTTTTATTTAATTAATAGAGAATATTTTTTGACAAGTGATTCAACTAAACATAATAATGAAAATGTTAAACAATCTCAAGCTTCATCATCACATTCTAATGCTGATTTAATTACAAATCATTTAAATGAAACAACAGCAGCAGCATCAATAACAACCAATGGAACAGAACAGTAAGTTAAGATTTATGATAGATTAAACTATTTTAATCACTTCAAACATTTATTATACAAGCAAAAAAAAAAAATGTTGTAATTAACAGCTTTCTTCAATAATACAATATTTTGAATATATTATCGTGAAAATAATCAGTTCGAGATAATGTTTGAAATTTCCATAGAATGAATGATACTACTCATAATTATTTAATATATTTCTTTAAGAAATAGAATTGAATAGATATTTGTCAATATTTAGTGATATTATTGTTGATAAGAAAGGATCTATAAAAAAAAAAAAAAGAACTCTTTAGATTTAAGAAATAAAAACAAATTAACTTTTGATTTTTAGACGTCAATGGACAATAAATGATTTTGAAATCGGAGCACCATTAGGTCGAGGACGTTTTGGTCATGTTTATTGTGTACGAGAAAAAAAAAGCAAATATATTGTTGCTTTAAAAGCTATTATTAAAGATCAAATTTCAACTCCTCGTTTAGCTAAACAATTAATAAGTGAAATATCAATTCAAAGTCGTCTTAAGTATATTTTATATATTTTATATTTTATTTTTATTTTCTTATTTTCAATAATTTGATAAGACATCCAAATATATTACGTCTTTATGGATTTTTTCATGATGATCAACGAATATTTTTATTACTTGAATATGCACCTGGTGGAGAATTATATAGACGTATGCAAAAAGATAAAATTTTACAAGAAAATGAAGCTGCTGGAGTATATTTATTTTATTTATTAATATCGAATAAATCGAATATTTTTTGTTTTTTGTTTTAGTATGTTTATCAACTTTGTAATGCATTATCATATCTTCATTCAAAACAAATAATTCATCGGTATATTCAAATAATTCGAAATTATTTGAAATAAATAATTGTTTTCTTATTTATTTTAGTGATATTAAACCAGAAAATATTCTTATTGGAGTTTATGGAATTCTTAAATTAGGTTATTTATTTATCTTTATTTTATTCTATTTTGAATATTTTTATTTTTTCATATTATAAAGCTGATTTTGGTTGGTCAGCTGAAAGTAATCAAACAAATAAGTTAGTTTAATTAATAGTTAAGAAAAATAAAATAATATTATCGATTTTATACATATATAGACGAACAACTTTATGTGGTACATTAGATTATTTATCACCAGAAATGCTTAATGGAAATGGATATGATGAAAAAATAGATCTTTGGTGTTTAGGTGTATTTACTTATGAAATGGTAAATTATTTTTATAATTATGAATTTGTTTTGTTTTGTTTTTATAAATATTCTTATATAAAGATTGTTGGTAAACCTCCATTTGATAGTCAAACTCAACAAGATACAATAAGACGTATAAAAATAAATCAATTATCATATCCATCAACAATATCAATTTATGCTCAACATCTTATTAGTCAAGTAAAGATTTATTCATATTTAAATAAATATATTCTAACAAAAAAATTCTAATTTTAATAGTTAATTCGTCATAATCCATTAGATCGTATGCCATTAAATGAAGTTATTAAACATCAATGGATTATTCAAAATGCAAATATTAAATCAATTGATGAGAATTATCAAAAAATTTATAAATCAACATTTAATTCTCATCAAATATCATAGATTATTATTATTATTGTTCCTATATTTATTTTTCTTATGATTATGATCAATCTTGTTTATTCAATCTCTCTCTCTCTCTACTTGTCTTGTTTTTTTTTCTTCTCTATTAACTTCAATTAATAAATAAATATAGAATAACGATCTCAATCGAGTTTTTCAAAATAATATATATTTATGTTTGAAAATCGTCAAAATGAATATTAATTAATTATTGAAAATAAATCAACTAAACGGAATAGACTAATTCTGTTCATATTTTGTTTTTAAATTTTTTCAAATATAATAGAATAACATTTTTTTCGTTAAATAACTAAAACTTTCTTTTTTTTGTTAGACTCTCAGAAAAATAAATAATTTGTAATCCTAGAAGTTTATTTTAGCTCTGTGACAATATGTTTAAATTATGTTTGGCAGGTATATCTATGAAAATAAAAGAAAATAATATTTAAAAATATTCATTTTGTTATTGAAAAGTGATACTATTTACCATAAGATTAATTATTGGATTTGTTTATATGAATTTATAATAAAAATTGTATTCCTATTCTATATCTAAGTAGTTATTGATAATCAACGCTATAAATATTTATTGTTAGTTGAGTTAAATTTATTGTAATGTCTAATAGAAATGTAAAATTAGAATTAGAATTGAATTTTATTTCTCTGTAACAAAATGAGAATATTTTTAATATATGTATTCATACATTCAAGTTTGAATTTAATCGAATAAATTTATATTGATAGAATTTATTTTCTCTTTTATTTTATGGATGTTATTGATAAATAATGTCATTAGATGAATATATTTTTCAACGAATATCTTATCATAAAAGATAAACGATATTAACAGGTCAATTTTCATTTTGATTGTTTAGATATATTAAAATATATTTATATCATCAAGAATAAATTAATAAATGATCTCAATATTAACTAAATGAGGATATATATTTTAACAAGATCATTATCACATATTAATTCTTTTGTTTAAGATATTAAAATAGAAATATAATCGTGTGTTTAAGTTAATAATAAAGAAAAATATAATAAATTTTAATTATATTTGTTAATAATATAATTAAAAAATTTATCTTGACTGACATATTCTAGTTAATATAATAGATCATAAAAGTATTTTAATCGGTAAGTGCTATTCGAATTCGGTCGAAAATATCAATCTCATCTAGTTAGAATCAAATCATGTTTTGTTTATCTATTTTTTATCTTAGAAAACTATTGAGAAATTTTTAAAAAAAAGGATTTACTCTTCTATTTCAATATCAATTATGTTTTCAAGCATTATTTTCTTGTTGAAAAAATATTGTTAAAAAAAAAGAATAGATCAATGATGAATTAAGAGTTTTTAATCAAAGAATGTACTCGTGAACAGAGAGAGACTACCATATGCTAATCAAACAGAATTTACACGATGAATATAATTTTGTTGTTATTAGATAGAGACGCAATGATATGTTCCTTTTCAATATATATGTCCTATCAAAGTAAAAGTTATTTCAATTGAACGAAATACTAAATCAACATTGGGTTATTTATGATATTAATAATAATATATTGTATTAAGTTTATTCTCAATTTTAATAATATTTTTATCGTTTTTCTTAGAATGAAGCATAGAAAAAACTTTTCAGAAAAATAAAACGTCAAATTTGTTTGTTTTTTTTTTATTATAGATATATTCTCATGATATCTGAGTCATTAATTAATGAAAGAGATATATAGAATATTAATCTATGTTGATGTTTTATGTGATATAATCTTTTCATCTATGCATGAAACTTATGATTAAGGATGAAGATTAGTAAAATGTCCAGCTGAAAGGTAAAAGTAAGACAAAGGCGAGTGAAAAATTTAGTTTACGATACAGAATATGTTTACTCGAGACATTGGTTTTTATTCTTAAATACATGTAATATACTAGAACCAAATTCAAAAATGTTAATACTTCTATCATGTCATCGATACAATGACATAATCACAGATTGCTCTGACTTCTTGTTCTACTAATTTTCGTATAATGTTTATCTGATAGATTCTATATTCATTTAATACATATATTATAGTGAAACATGTTATTCATCAACCCAATATGTGAGCTTTTCATTCAGCTAAATTTTCTATGCCTCTTCGTAAAAACAAACATAATATAACATATTTTTTTTTAATATACTGAATTAACTGGTATTGATTTAGTATTTAGTTCAATTGAAATAACTTCGTTGGCCGGTGTAACTTCGATAGCTTCTCTTGGCACATGCTCCACGTATTGTGGCACAGATAATTTGCATACACTTTCGAAAAGGTGGCTGTTTTATATGCACATTCATAATATGATTCGATGAAAACATTGAAACAAAAAGAGGCATGTTTATCAAGGAGAAAGAAAAAAGCTACCAAAAGTATGAAATCTAAGATAAAACATTTAATTCTTTTTTTTTTTGAATATTTACCTTCGACAACAAAAGAAATCAAAGACATGAGATGATATGAAGTATATTGAAAGATTGATGGTAAGGATGAGAATGTGACTTTTTGTTTTACTTATCTTCCGACACTGCCCATAACCAACCGAAAGTATATCATAGTTCTAAGTTCCTAAAGAGACATGATTCACCGACTCATGTTTTTTCCTTAATATTCGTTTAGAATGTCATTAATTTCCTGGAATTCTTGGAATGAAAGTAACGTCGATCGCGTCATTGACCAATTTGATCCGGTGAGTTTTTTTGAAATTCCATCAACTTGGTTTGATGGTAAAGGCATTATTCGATATTCTAACCCGAAAGCAGTAAAATTAACCAGCGGTAATTGGGATTATTATACACCATTCAAAGGTTGGATATGTTATGGTTTAAATGCAGAAAAATTTGGTTCAATTGGTTCTACACGGATAACCTCTGATGACTCTTCAGATGAATGGATTGTTGGGTTTTATGGATTTAGACGTGATACACTACAATCCTTACGATTCATAGCTCAAGGGAGCTTAAAAATTGGTTGTGACGCTGACAATAAGCAGTTCGCAATTTCCAAAGACGTCGGACCTAATGCAACATTCTTTAATAAAAGCACATGTGGAAAAGGTATATGTTTAACATCAAATCTTGAATATATGACGGACTGTAAGCTGATTGAACCAATAAAATATAATAAACATTACTTTATACAAGTGGCTTTACAGTGTCAAATTCATTCCTTGAAGATTCGAATACCAGAGTGTTCAAAATATCGTTATTATATTATTAATGATCCAGCGTACGTTCGCCCATACGGAATTCTTGTTAAATTTCTGACGAAAACCGATCCAATAAATATACTCGAACATCATAATTTCAATTTAGATGATGAAAAGCATAACAACAAAAACATGTCTGACGAAAATAAATCGTACATTGAAGATCTATCAAATGAATTATGGCTTCAAATATTCGATTACTTCGATTCAATAAATCTTTTTCTCACATTTTATGACTTAAATAAACGCATTAATCGATTACTTGTATCCGAAAAATTCACGTCACTTTCACTTTCGAACTCGATCAGTCATTCGAATTTTATTCACAAATTTTTTCAGGTATATTTAACATTTTCGAGTTTGTTTAATATTTGTTTTCCATTTTCAGTAAGGAACGAAACAAAAATCAACTTCAACAGAACTTTCTGTTTTCATATTCAGTTAAAAAGGAATGTTTTTTCTTAAATCAAATATTTTATTCATTCGAGATTTAGCTGTTTTTTATTTCTAAACGAAACGGATGCTAATTCTTTTTTTTTTAAGGATCATCCATTGGAACGATTCAAACAAGTTCAACATCTCAGATTGACATACACATTTTTGGACACAAATGAATGTAATATTGTTAATCATCTCTCATCATTCTCGGTTCTTAATTCGCTCATTATTAATCTTGATACTGGTAGTGCAGAATTTAAACTAAAAGAAAGGCTCATACACATTGTTTTCTCTCAGCACCATCCTTTGCTTCAACGATTATATATAAATGGATATCATATGAAGGCAGAAATCATGGACAACACGTTTACGTTTTATTTTCCATCTCTTCTCTATGTTCGAGTAGACAACCTTGATCATTACTTGACTGTTCAACTCTTGAATCGATGTCATCAACTTCGTTCATTTTCAGCTGAAATTTACCATGGTGGAATTTTTTCCCATTCAACATCTCAATCACTCACGAATTCTTCAGACATGACTCAAGACGAACTCAATAGAGAAATTGACGTCATGGAGAATTCGAATATTGAGCTCGTTCCAATCAGTACCACTCTCATAGCTATGACTACGTTGAATTTAAAATGGTCTTCTTATGTTGATTATAATTGGTGGGAAAATTTTCTTAAACATTTATTGCCATGTTGCCCTAATCTATGCAGACTTTTTCTCTATACTGTGTGTATAGAAGAGAGAAATTTGCTTGATGCAAATTGGTGGACAAATATACTTTTCTCCAACAAGAAATTGCAATGTATTTCTCTTATTTTACATTGGGCGACACGCAACTATAAATCAGATTATGATAAACGAATGGTTCAAAAGTTCCAATCATCAACTTATTTTAATCAACTCAAAGCCAATGTTATGTGCACTTTCGGTAGTGATTTTCCTTGGTTTCTGTATGATGTTTCTATCAAGAATTAAGAATGTTTCTTATATTCCAAACTTATTTTTCATATAATTCTTGAAATGTTTTCAAATTAAAACATTAATCACTTTTTCATTAGAACTGATCTGCAATTAATTTAGCGTTTTTGTTGAAAGTATAAATGCCGTCCAATAGGCATATCAATAAAACCCAAACACATTTGCTAGAAAAGATCACTCAATTTATCAATATTATTGTGTATTGACTGTTGAATTAGATTGTTATTGATATTTTTCTAATGTGAAGATCAACGCAATTTAGGTACAGTTTTATAAAGAGATTGATCGATGCACTCATCGAACGTCGATGAACATTTGATTAAAGAACAATTTGAAGTTTTTAAATAGAAAACAGGCAGTTAGTACAAACTCTTACTATCATTTTACTTTAACCTGCAGAAATCTGTTTTCATAAACGTTTGATTGCTTTTTTTTATGATCTTTACTACTATGAAAGGGGCTTTGGACACGGCATGTATTCTAAAAGGATTTATGAGACTAATAAAACGTTTTGTAGAGCTTATCAGTCTACACATTGTCAATAACATTTTTTGATAAACTTAAATCAGATACTTCATTTTCGTTGCCAAAAAAAAACAGATGCAATTTCTATTGAGATTGTTTCTCATTTGTATAATATCCATTGTAGAGGATGGAATGTGAGTTAATTTCAGTTTCATATTAAGTACTTTTAAATTCAAATAATGATTTTCGGAAAAAATAAAGGAAGCTATTGATTGAATTTCAATCAATATAAGGAAGATGCTCGATTTAGAAAGATTTATATTTAGTTAATACGAAAATTGTTCTAAATGATCACATGATACAACAACAAGCGAGATTGAATGATTAAAATTTGGGATGAGGGTGTGGATTTGGATTGTGGACGAGGGCAAAAAGAACATCAAGCCATACTAACCTACACTCTGAAAGTTTTTGAAATCATAAAATATATGATCAATAACATCACGAAATATCAACGCATGTATTGCATATGCATAACGCGAATAAGTCTTAAATAAAACAAGATTTTTTTTTTTTGTTGACGCGATTTTTATTATATATCCTCGTTGTATTGTTTGTTATTCTTATTAGTTAATAAAACACCAGTGGAAAGAAAATGAAATTCTAAAGATATTTTATTAGGATTAAAATCTCCACTCCATATTATTGAAACATTTCTATTCTATTTACGTACATTGGATATTTTAAATTTCAAAAGAAAACAGATAATTACTTGTTGTTCATAAAGTTATTTAATCTCTTTTATACGTTCAATTGCAATCATAGTTTGTAAACATTGAATAGTATGAGTCCAAGGGCAAAAATGTAAATGTGTATTACATATTAAAAAAACTTCATTTGGTTCTCCTCGTCGCTTCAATCCTCAAATCTAAACAATTTATTCTTAGATAATATTCAATATTGGAATCTGTATTCTATGATAAATACAAAGCCTTTTTCTCGATGACATCCTACGAAAATCAATGTTAGTTTTGAATTTCGTAGTTTACTGTAACACGAAATTAGTGGTAAAAACACCTAAGATGATTTTTGCCAACAGCTAGTTTGTCGACTGCATATCTCAGTAATAAATTGAAAATTTTAATGCAAACTACCGGAGATTCAAGCGATTTCCAAATGTTAAAATATTTGTTTATCGATAGGAATGATTTGATCGGAACGAGTATATAGACTCTGATAATTCGTAGAAGTTTTTCACAAAATGCAATTATCAAGTCATAATCTTTTTGAAGATTATCTACAATGAAATTTGAGATTGCTTATCGTTTTGCCACAGTTAATGAATGTATAAACACCTAGTTGATATAAGAATTCTTTTCCTAGTCGAAAATCCTTTAATGAAATCTCGTAAAATTCCTGAGAATTCATTACCGAGTGATTTTTTAAGTGACTGGTGAGTGTCTCACTTACGACAGCCTCTTACAATAACTACCAGCTCCTTACAATGTAATTATTATGAATAATTATTTGCTTGATTGATTTGAGATGGAAAATCATTATTTTGGAAAAACTCTACTTATCATTTTTTTAAAAGCATGTCTCTTATCCGTTCATTGAGTTTCATCTGAGCGAATAAATTGGGTCGATCGAATGTTAACTCACGTCCAAATAATGAGTCATTGACGAGAAGGATCAATATATTTCTGTGCTCCTTGATAATCTATCGGAGAGTCACTGTCGGAAACCCGAGGAGATTTTTGTCAGTTTACCGTGCTTCCTAACATTCGAGGACTACCTAGAGATTACTTAGGGCATACCAAAACTAATGGTGAAGAATTCCTTATAAAAAAAAAAAACTTTAAGAAATATCTTTCTATATAATCTGACAGAGACAAGAATGCTCGATTTTTAAATGCAATCTGATCGTACTTCAATTAATATCATAATAATAAAATTTCAATAGAATCAGTAGGTACAGAGCATAATTCGAGATGGTTATGCTATGTTTTTTAAATAACTTTTGATAGAAGAAACATGATCAAAAGCTTCGGTTTTCATGTTTTGAAAGAGGAAATGAAGATATATCTAGTCGTATATTACGGATTTGTTGCCATGGCTTTTTTAAGGTTTTCAATCGACCTCTTTAGAAACAAACCTGCTCGGTATGGTATTTGCAGTAGATTATTCAATTGCAAGGT